CGACATTACACAAGCCATCACAAGAAATTAACCTTGTGTAGCCTGTGCAGGGGTACATAATAGGGGGTGTATCACGGTGGGCCTATTTTTATACTTGGCTGAAACAGTGTTGCGGGGGGGAACTGTGAGGAGGGCCTGAGGAAGCATTTTTATAATAATAAACGACTTTTCGAAAAATATAATGACTTTCGACATTTTATGAAGAGCGGCGATCTTCGCGGCCACGGCCAGTTCCATGGCTCTTGCACACGCAGGAAGCATCGCTGCCTTGCACGGATGGTGCCATTCGACGCGCAATGATCGTCTCTACGGGCTAATGTATTACAATATTTTTTATAAGCTGTGGTCTAGGAGTTATTCCAGGAAACGTTGCCTGCTGAACAAGATATTGAGTGAGCATCTTGAGGCATCGAGTTGGCAAGCCGCCGGGGGCTGCCGGAGGATGGGCTTTCGACAGCAAGTGCATTAGATCAATGAGAGTGTACAGTCGGAAGGGATTTTCTGTTTTGGTCGTCTTAGGTACCTCACGAGCACCTTCGTGCATGGTCCGAAGTCGGTCAATTATCATATCCGTCTCAATTTTTATTGCCGAATCGACACCGATCGAAGATCGCTCATACAAGAAACGGCGGCAAGGCGTGACCCGCGATGAGCAAGCCATCACCACGATGCAGCGCCTGCAATGCAGAGGCGCGCGTGCGTGGACCCCAGGCGCTGCGCGCGGGTAGCGTGGGTCCAAACGTTCAAGAACATGCACCGCGAAATGAAGCGGCCGAGCGCGACAAGCTCTTGAACGACATGCAGCTCTCGGCGATGCACGCTCGCATTGGCATCGTGGCTCGCCGGTGGCCGAGAGAGAGCACGGGCCGTAGCAAGGATACAAGCAACGTCATTGCGCTGCATTCGTACCTCGAGGCGACGACGGGGGCTGGCGCCAAAGCTGCAGGTGGCAAGAAGCGCGCCCGCGACGCCACAGACAAGCCCAAGGAGCCCAAGCCGAAGCGCGTCAAGAAGCCCGACGTTCGACGCAAGCTAGATTTGCCTGTAGCAGCGTAGCACGTTCTACCCATTGACGTTATCTATCCCAATCTATCCTGCATGCTTCTACTCTGATGCACTGCCAATGCATGTCATACACTATTCTATTTTATCGTAAACCAGTGAAATAGAGTTAGGTTTGACCAGCGAAATTTCCTCGTCCACTCCGAGCCAAATCGGGCAGTTTCCCCCCGCGACCATAATAAAAATATCTTGAAGTTTGTAGGGTGATACACCCCCTATTATGTACCCCTGAGCCTGTGCAAGGTCTATTGTTTTTGATAGGCCCCCTACCGAGGCGTCTCTACTGAGGGTCCCTCATTTCGCACGGAAAGAAACGATGAACTCGCTCCATGCGCTCGTCTATGACGTCGAGCCACTGGCCGGCGCCTACGCGACGACGATGGACGAAGATGCGATGCTGGACGACATCATGGCCTTGACGGACAAGGCCTCGCCAGCCTCGGACGAAGCCAGCAGCGACCACTCGGCGGAAGCAGAGGTGGCGCCGGCGAAGCGCAAGCGTGTGCGCAAGCGCCAAACCGAAGAGCTCAAGTACCTGCGGGAGAAAATGGACGAGTATTCGTCGCAATTGACCGCGCTGCGGCAGCTCAAAGCCGTCGAGTCTCAGAACTCGTCGCCATGGGAGGGTATCTCGCGTCGCCAGGCGCAGGCGCGGTCGCTCGCCGAGGCCGAGAACGCCAAGCTCAAGCTTGCGGTCGAAGAGCAGCTCAAGGTCACGGAGGCCTTGATGCGCATCGTCACCAAGCGCCCAAAGCTCGCCGAGGCCGCGTGCATTGACGACTGGAAGGTGCAAAAGCTGTCGTCCAGCCCGCTGCGTCGACGCGATGCGATGCGGGCGCTTGTCGACGCCAAGCTCGAGGCCATGGAAGGCGTCTTCGTGCGCAAGCAGATCCAAGACGCGTCCAGCGCGCCCATGACCTCGGACGTTGTCTACGATGCGGCGACGGACTCGGTTCGGCTCGAATGCTCGACCGTGCACGAGCTCGCGGTCGACTACCCCACGGCCGTCGAGACGATGTGGGAAATGCACAACGTCACAGGCACGCGAACGCTCACGGCATCTCAGTACCGGGTACGTCATGGTGCTTTCTCTGGCATGCTCGAGCCTGACGTGCTCTAGTGCTTGGAGAAGGTCGATGCAACGACGGTCTACTATCGCCGCAGCTTCACCTTGGGCGCAGCGCCTGTCGAGGGCAACGTTGTTTTTGCCCGGTTCAACGAACACAACCGGACGGTCTTTGTGTCCGAGACCGTCCTCGACGACGAAGCGCATCCGTACTCGCCCAATGTCTTTGTCTCGAACGAGACGACGTGGTATGACATCCCCTCCTCGTTCTTGCCTGCTGCTAACCTCGGCACTAGGCTAATCTTTGAAAAGACCGACGTTGGGGCGCGTGTTCGCTTTTGTGCGAGCGCTATCATGCCGTGCAAGGCATCGCGCGACGCGCCGTCGTCGACGTCGCAGCACTACGTGGCATTTGCCGAGCTCATGCTCGACTCGTTCAAGAAAAATTTGCACGACATGCAAACGTATGTGCACGGGCAGGTCGAAGCGCGATTGGGGCCGCTCGCGCCAAAGTACTGCCCCGTAAACGCAATCGCAACCAAGCTCAAGTCAGTGTGGCGCTCGTAGTTGCGCGTCTTTCTTTTATAAATGGGTTTCTATATACAAAGACGGGTATGTCCCCTGGTACTAGGTCATCACACCACCAACACCGACGGGCAAGAGCCATTCTCCAAACTACACACCTCCCTGCACGAGCTTCCGCGTACGGGTTGTGAAGGCTACCATTCGCGTTGAGGGGCTGGCGTGACTGTGCGTGGAGCGATCTAAAGCCACTTGGGAGAACCAGAGCCACCAGACAAAAGGCTGCACCAAAGGCGAGCACAATGTGAAGGTCTGCAATGTGAGCCGCACAGTTTAGTAGTTGGCCACCGAATGCGCCAATCACGTTACTTTACAGTTAGTACACCATGTTGGAGATAGCAGCAACGAGAGTTCACATATACGCTGTAGTAGTCAAAAGTACTAGTTCACTTTTGTTTCATTTTATTCCGTTGCACTTTAGAGCGTTGAAGCGCACGGTACCGCAGCACGACAGTGGTGGAGAAGCAGGGTAACATTGGTTCTGTCGAGGACGATGGCAAGCCCAGAGACGCGTCACGAGGTCATCGCATCGACGGTTGCCTTCCATGTGAGCCTGAGATGGATGGAGAGGCTAAGATAGAGCGGTCGTCTCGTCTGACGGCTTGGCATGTGCGTGATCGTCCATCATCGTGTGGACAAGTGGTGGGCCCGTGATCGAGTGCGCAGGGCGTTCTGGACGTGCCATCGTGCTCGGCAGGAGCAATGCTACCTTGCTTGCCACCACTGCGGTGCTGCGGTACCGCACGCTGCACTTGCGAGCTCTGACGCGCAATGGAATATGAAGTTGGTCAACAGCCTTTTCTGGCCACCCATAAGAAACATATGTCTTATGCAGCATTATTGGTGTCACTTGAATTTTCACTTTGACTGTGGACCCCAGCATGTGGCAACGTTTCAGTGACATGGGGTTGCGTTCGTTTAGACGAGTGACAAGACTGACTGAAAACCTCTGTGATTCAATTCAATACTAAATGTGACAGGTTTTACGAGGTGCTTCTTTAGAAAGACGCACCCCTTCTGGTTTGGCGCACCTTCGCCTCCAGTTTCAATTCGAGAGCGGCCATGGACATGCATGATGATGAGATGCTGGCGCTCGACGACGTGGCGTGGGACCTGGCCCTAGACCTGCCGCCTGCGCGGCCCAAGCGCCCGCGCAAGACGTACGCGGAAGAGATCACCGAGCTGCGGGCCAAGGCTGCCCAGTACTCGGAGCAGCTGGCCGCACTGACGCAGCGCCAAGAGGTCGACATCATCTGTGCAACGCCATGGGAGGGCATCTCGCGGCGACAGGCCATCGAGCGCAGCGTGGCCGAGAAGGACAATGCGCGCCTGAAGAACGCTCTCCAGGAGCAGCTTACGACGATCCAAACGCTTTTGCGCATCGTACAGAAGCGGCCAAAGCTCATGGACGTCTCATACGTTGAAGACTGGAAGCTGCAGCGCTTGCCGGCGGAC